GAAATCTTCACAAGGATTATGGCTTGTAAATCTACCAAAGAAACGTGGGATAAATTAAAAGCAGAATTTCATGGTGATGAAAAGTCAAGGAAGATGCAAGTTGTAAATCTTAAAAGGTAATTTGAAGGTCTGAAGATGAGAGAAACCGATACCATCAAAAACTTCTCTTCTTAAATTTTAAAACTTGTGAATCAAGTGAGACTTTTGAGAGAAAATTTTCCAGATTTAAGAATAGTAGAGAAAGTTCTAGTAAGTCTACTAGAGAAATTTAAACATAAAATTTGCTCTTTAAAATATTCTAAAGATTTCTCAGAAATGAGTCTGCAAGAACTGGTGAATGCATTGCAAACTGTGGAGCAAAAACAAGCTTATAGAAAAGAAAGAACAAGTGAAGGAGCTTTTGTTGCAGTTTACAAGGAAAAGAGTTGGGCTAAGAATTTTTACAAAAATCAAGAAGAAAAAAAAGAAAAAGGGTGAGACTAACAATCTCATAACTAGTAACAGAACAACAACAACATCTTCACTGAAAGGAAAGAGAAAAAAGAACATTTTCCTGCTTGCAAATTCTATCAGAAAACAAATCATCTTGAAACCTGGTGTTGGCTCAAAAATATACAATGCCGAAACTGCAAGCAATTTGGTCACATCCAAAGATTTTACAAAAACAAAGCAGAAACTGTAAAACAAGCTCAAGTAGCCAAGAGTTCAGAAATGGAGCAAGATCTTTTATTCATAGCTACAATACAGGAGATGTGTAACACAGCCAAGGCAAATGACTTATCATGGCTTATTGATAGTTGTTGCACTAATCACATGATTGTAGATATGAGCTTATTCAAAGATATAGATAAAAGTTATCTATCTAGAGTCAGAATTAGCAATGGAGACTATGTGAAGGTCGAAATAAAATGAGCAATTGAAGTAGAAACATTGTCAGGTACAAAAACTCTTAAAAATGTTCTTTATGTACCTAAGATCAATGAGAATCTAGTTTGTGTGGGATAATTAATTGAATCTGGTTACTCAATATTCTTTAATGATGGAGTATGTGATATTAAAGATAATAATGGAGTGCTACTGCTTTCTGTAAAAATGATGAACAGAAGTTTTAATGTTGATTGGAGAGAAGTATGTTTGAGTGCTAACATTTATGAGAATAATGAATCTGTTCTTTGACATAAATGGTTGGGACACTTCAATTATGCAACTTTAAAGAGAATGGCTAACCTGCAGATGACTCACGGCTTACCAGATATACAAGAACAAAAGAGTATTTGTGAAGTCTGTCGGTTAGGAAAACAAACTAGAGTTGTTTTTCCTGACAATGAATTCAAAGCACTGTCAAAACTCTAACTTGTACTCACAGATATGTGTGTGCCAATGTATAATGAATCATTGAATGATTCAAAGTATTTTCTTCTATTTGTTAATGATTATAGTAGATTCTGCTAGGTTTACTTTCTAAAATTAAAATCTGATGTGTTTGCTGAGTTTGTTAAATTTAAAACAACAATTGAACTAGAAACAGGAAACAAGTTTGAAAATCTGAGGGAAAGAATTGGAATGTGTAACTTTGAAACCAAGAAGAAGTGTTGAAGTTTGGTACCAAAGCTGGAACAGGATTACTTAGTAGTAATCTATTACATTGCTATCTATCTGCTAGCTGATAGCATTATCTAGATTAAGATGTTTCTTTCAATTTATTTGTTAAATTTATCTAAAATTAGACTAGCTTGTTGTACAACTCCTTTAATAAAGGAGAATATAGCTGGTATGTTTTTTTAATGTTTTTATTTTTTTATAATATTTGTTTTTTTTATAAATAAAATATTAGGATGGCAGTAACCAACTGAGATATTTTTACTTCTTATTTTTTTAATTGTAAAAACTTTGTTCTTTATTCTTTTTCTCGATTCATAAATATTAATCTATCCTTTATATATCAGTTTTTTTAACAACAATTTTTGATGTATACAAAGACCAATAAAGTTTGCAAATACGATGCGACAAAGTAAGATCAACAAAACCTGGGTGTTGCTGCATATACAAATCAGTGTTAAGATGCCTATTGAGAAAGGCACTATGCACATCTAACTAACGAACCGGTCAGCCATGAGAGGGACTGATGCTCAAGATTGTTTGAACTGTGTACAGTTTGAAAACCAGGTTGATCATCTCCTCAAAATCAACCCCTCCTGATACCATTTGACCACAAGGCACGCCTTATAGCATTCAACATAATCATTTAAACCCATTTACAACTCATAATATTCATGAAAACAGAGTAGGAACCAGCAACCATTGTGTTATTACAAATAAGGGCTGAACTCGTGATTAGTAATGGTGACAAGAACTAGTTGAGAAGTATATGGACAATGATATAAGGTCATAGGATGATGCAGATACGATGGTATAGAGGAGAAAACGGTAAAGAAAGAGGAGAGGAGGGACTAAGATCGACCAAGAAGTTAAGACCAAGTAAGGAAAACAGAGATAAAAATGAAAAAAAGAGAATGAAAGACGATACAAAACGGTGATAAAAACGAGGGTAAGGAAAAGAAGGGGAAGGAAATCGAAGGAAGGAAGAAGATTGAGTTGTTGGTAGGGATGAAAAAGGAGGAAGGCTTAGAAAAGTTTGGCTAGGAAAAGAGACCCCAAGTGTCTAGTGAGGAAAAGGAGAAGTGTCCGAAGGAACTGACAGAAAGGACTTGAAGGGGAAGGAGGTGCAATAACGTCTAAAACGTAACAAAATGCAAATCTAAACAATGATAACCAAAATGAAAAAGGCTATAGCCAAGAAGAACACATGGAGAAAAGCGATAGTTCATTTTATGATGGCAGTACGGGCAAAGAAAGTAGAAAACTCGAGCAATGAACAATGCCGACATCACAGAGATGGATTCATAGCCACAATCTATCTGGAGCTGTTTAACGCTAGTGTCGAATTGCTTTTCAACCAGGGTATAAAATTGAATAAAAACACTAAAAGCATATGATTTAGCACGCATGGAAAAACACCTTGTAAATTTGGAAAAATGGCCAGTGAAAACAATAAAGTGAAGGCGGTACCCTCCAAATGAGAATGTCGAAGAGGGACCCCAAACATCACCAAGCAATATCCCCAACAAAGTAGAGTTCATATGTTAAGAACGACCTGATGACAATCTACTGGATCTGTATAAAGGACAAGCAGTATACTGAAGTGATGATCTAGAAAAAATAACCAGAATTGTGTTTATTCGAAAACAAGTGATGGAAGACGTCAGTGTGAGGATAATCAAGACATCTATACCAAATATCAGAAGTGGAACAAACAATAGACAATGCAAGAGGGATCAAATTAGAGGAAGGCTCGACTAGCCAAGAAAGGCCGTCTTTAACGCTGAAGGGTAGCCTTGGACACTTGCTCCACAAGGAAACATGAATCACCATGAAATTTAAAAAGGGCTTTATTTTCAAGAGAAAGTTGACTCGCAAGGTGTTGGTGGATGTTGAAATGAAGGAATCACTAAGATGAGAGAAAGAGAGTCCCTTACCATTACCAACCTCGAGATGATTTGAACCAGTATAAGGTTCCGATGTGGGGTATAACATGATGGCGTTCATGTATAGACATTAAGTAGAAGTACTATGTGAAGCCGGTCTATTGTCAAATCCCTTGCCATAATCCATCATAACCATTGAAGGACACTATAAAATCAATGGCACTGGTTTGGGCCTTGCAACGAGGGTCTTAACAAGGTCCTTAAACTCCGAACGCCGTCCCTTGAACAAGTAAGAGTTGAAATCAGTCGAGTTCCTTATGTCCATCATGGTATGGTTTTCCTCGCTGAGGATATGCTGTGACAGTCTCGTCCAGAGATTGCTCCAATCCCAGTAAAGCTGAATTAAAGGAAATAATACGAGGAATGGAAGGTGAGGCCAAAATAAAAGATAATGTGTCCCCCACAGCTTTCAAAGCCGTGCAACCAAGAATTAGAGACGGTACCCTTTTGTAGTGTAGTCCGGATGGGGACTTGGTGCTGATGTGTTGTTGTGTTGTTGAAGAAATTCAAGAGGGCAGATATTGTTGCCATCCACGAACCCGTATAGACATTGTCCAACCAAGAACAATTTAACTTTAGCCTCCCAAAATAAGTAATTTTCGTGAATAAGTTCAAAGAATTATAATGGCGAGAATTATATGACGTAGAATTGAGGTCGACTGTGTTGAGATTGATGGTCGACGATTGCGAGTTAAGAGCATAAGATGTTATGTTCCCTAGAAAAGCCACACTACAATTATGTAATTATGTGATAGGCTCATCTACTATATGTTAAACTGAAGAATAATCAGAGATGAAAGAATAGATAGCAGGTTTGGCAACGCTTGTATTGTATTGGCTTAGAATACAGATACATGGCCTAGCCTCCTGCTGCCGACCCATCTTTCCTCAAAATGGAGAACTCAGGCTTTTACTGCAATCAAGCGCCTTTGCACGCACTGCGAGGCCTTTGGTTCCCCAGCCTCCCCTGCTCCATCTTCCACGGCAGCCTGTAGCTCAGTCAGCAACTGCTTGCTGAGCTTTGGCTTCAAGCAACTTATGGTCTGCCTGGTCCATTAATGAAAGTTCTCATTATAAACGAATACCTTGCGATGTCAAGTTATTCCTTTTGAGATAAACATTGGCTGTGAGTTCATGGTGAACCTTGAAAGTCTTTCCGTGTAAGAGATGCATCTCTCTCCACTATTCAGTCCCAGACCCGAATGAGACTTGAAAAGATTCCGTAAGCCCTGTACAGAACAGGCATCGCATTCGCTTCCGCAACGACAACTGAAGGCATCAATCCAAGACTTTCCAGAGATCACAGTCTCGGTTGAGACTAGAGAAATATATTTATGGGCATCCAAAGAACAAGATGACGTCCACAAAATCCCTCTAAAAATGGGATTGATTGGGGTTGGATTTATTGCCAGATAAGGTAATAAACGAGTACATGCACGGAAACAGCACACAACATGAAACAACTTAGCAGCAGTGCTTATGCATTTAAAGAACCAACAGGTGCATGCCTACCAGAAATTAAATGCAGTTGCTCCCACAAATAAGTGGATCACATCTTGAACGCCTTAAGCGAGAAATACCAATACATGGTCTAACAAGTAATAACCATGCTAAATGTAGAAAAGCTTTTTTTCTTTGCATTCAAATTCACCTTACCTCCAGGCAGACCACATTATATAGCCAACAAATCCCAAGTGAAAAACGTAAACATGCAGCTCCTCTTAGAAAAATTGATGATTCAGGAAAAAGGATTCTGCAATGTGAAAGGAAGCATACAAATTTGACTCAACTGCCCATGTGACTTACAGCTTGTCTCTCCATTTTTGCTACCCATCAATATCCGGCTTTTGTATTAAGAAAGTGTTACAGTAGGCTGAAAGGGAATCAAGAAGAAGAAATGGGGGGGAATTATGACGCAACTAGATCAGGTGTTTCAGCCTCCACTGATAACAAAGCAGTGTGTACTTTATCCAACCAATTGTCCAGTCGATCTCGCAAGGATTTGATCTGTGGAATCCCCAGAACTCTTGGCTGTACCCAGGAAACGTGCACTGTTCCTTCAACTTGATCAATTATACCCTCAATAAGGTGGACCTGTTGCCAAAATCATAGCATTAGCTTTGCACTGTGTAAAAACTTCAAACAATAAAAGGTGCATGGAGAAGCAAATGCAATTTTCAAATTTTGAGTTAATGCAGTTCTAGATTTTGTCAATGTCATAATTCATGACGGAATGCTGAAACAATTTTAAGCCTTCAAATGTTTTTGCCAATGGTTGGAAATTTGATTATTTTGCAATGCAGCACAAAGCATCAATAGCAATTGAAAATCGATACAAATTCAGGACAACAATTTAGCAAAGCAGTTCCATGCACACTAGATCTTTTGGCTTCTTTTGGGCACACATAACACAACTCAAGTCTTTTGGGTTCAAAGTGAAAAGCTTGAAAACAAAACAAGTTATACTCATTTTAGCCAAATTGCAGCTAGTTATACACAAATAATGCAGAAAAGCTCTTTTTGCCAACAAGTGTGGTGCATTCAGTAGGAGCAGAAGGGCATACTCTTCATGGAGCACAGAGCACCAATAAAACATGCACTAATTGCCCTCTTCTTCACTATTTCCATCTTCCCAATTCTTCTTTTTTTTTCCCTTTTATGTTTATATGCAACTAATTTCCTGACAGAATGTGAAACAAAACATAGTCCATGTTCTACATGTCTATGCATAAAGAATTCCTCAGACTGAAAACTACAAATCAATTCTTTGGTGCTTGTTGATTCAGTTTTTTCCCCTTTGGTAGTTCTTTTGAACTAAGGGGAGAGGATAATGTTTTGGAACCATGTGCTACACTTCAATTAGGTGAGTGATTGCTTTTGTTCAAGCCTCCAAAAAGGTTAAAAGATTTTTAAGTTTGCCTTGCTTGTTTGTAGCAATCTTAGCAGTCAGGCATGTACCCAATGAACATATATGAAGAATGGGATGAGCAATTCACCTTTTGGGCCTCCAGATATATATATATATATCTGAAAAGGTTTCTTTATGGAAACTACATAGTTTGCCACTGAAAAGAATGCTGATGGATCTTATTAAGTGAGGAAAATTTATGCACCTCATCCAAGTTCGAACCTCAATATTGGGAGAGAGAGTTGGACTTACAGATAGACTCTTTATGAGAAGATGCTCCACATCCTCAATGGAAAGCTTTGTGCGCTCAGCAATAACATTTAATGGAATAGTTCTATTTTCAGAAGGACGGCTGCAAGGAAGCAAATTTAAGTTCAGCCAGCAATATTCTTATACAAGTGGCACATGATCTGCTATATTTTGGCCATCAAACCACAAGTAAAAATATATTACTAATACACATACCTAAAGATAATTTCCATTAGGCAGAGAATGTTAATCTTTTCTAATAGCTTCTGCTCATTCTGAACTAATGCTGGCTGGGCCCTCAGGGCAGTGTTGTGCACACGGCACAATTCTTGATAGCGAACTAAGTCACCAGAGTTAAATGCCTGGAGAATGTAGTAGAGCCACTCAACCTGAGTGCCCAGTAGGCTCTTTATCTGTGAAGTAAATTAAATGTCCATCATCCCAAACCCACAATGTAGTTAGAAAGCTCTACAGATTTATAAAGAGAGAAGGAACAGAGAAAAAAGATATTCCTACTATAGGATGGGCCAGCAACTCTCCGAAGTTGTAGATGTTATCCCCCAAAAGCGCAGACAGAGAAAGATCAAATGCCAAATCCTAAAAAGAAAAGATAAGAAATTGAATCAAATTGTCAACATGAACACCATATCATAATCGATAATGCAGAGCACAAGACATGCAAAGTAGAAGCATATAAACCATTTAACCAAGGAATTTATTCTGTTTGTTTTAACTCTTTCCTTCATAAAAATCTGTTACCAGTGCCAGTAACAGTAAGAAACAATCCATACATGAATTAAATTATTTTTGACAGTGTCTTAGGCAGTGTGATGATTGTCAATGACTCCTGGGTTAACATGAATTCTTAATAGTGGTTTGTAGTTCTTTACACTACAAGCTTTAAGATGGATGGTAATTATTCTCCTAAAGCATCAAATTTCTAAGTTTTAGTATATAATAAAGATGTCTAAACATCAATTAATCTCTAGGAGTCTTGATTTCTGAAGCTCTAGTTTTAATTGATTTGTTTAAAGTTATTATTTCTGTTTGGAAGGAGAATTTATTTTAGCGATGATGTTTTTGCTGGAATTGGAATTGATGAGCATTAGAACAAATGTAGGAAAAACAAAATAAAAACACAAACTGCTCAGTTTAGCACCTAGACCCACAAAAGCACAACCAACTTCACTGCTTGAACTTTCTTCAGATCATCAAACTTCCCCCATGAAGAATGCCAAAATAATACTAGTATGAAAGAAATGAGATATTGAACCCCAACTTAAATTGGCAAGACAATATTTTAAAGTTTCCATGGGCATGGAATAATCAAAATAAACAATTGCTACAGATAACCAAGATCAAGATATCTGGCATAAGAAGTTCCATGCATATTACTAAAGCTAGCATGCCCCAAGAAACTGAGAAAATATAGAGCTCAAATATAATGGTAGAAGGCCACACCACCATCAGTCTTTTGTATCAGATATCTGGACATCTATAATCATACCAGCTTAAATGAGTCTGAGAGGGACTCCACTGCTGTATATGCCAGATAAAGAAGAGCGCTTTTATAGAACTCAGCAAATTCCTGATGATGTTTATAGTTCTGAGACGAAACCCAATAATAACTGGCATACACGGATGGATCTATATCAGTCATGCTGTCAAGGGTACTCTTTCCATCTTCTAAAAGCTTCTTGCACTCTTTCTGATCCCCCTGCTCAAGCTTGAATATGGCTATTTGCATCTTAATGTAGAGGACTGGTTCCTCTATACGTTGTTCTCTAGTTGCTCGAAGCTTTTCAATCACCCCCTCAAGATAGCTAATGGCAGCTTCTTTCTCTGCATAACGCTGAGAAACTATAACAGCAAAGTGTGCAAGCTTGAGAAGGTTGATCTTTGTCTCAAAGTCAGTGATAAAATTATGATAAAACTGTATTAGAGCATCACCAGCCTGGAATTTAACAAACAAAAAATAAAAAATAAGTATCTGATTCATATAGGCTAACAAACCCAAGGAAAGTTACTTTAATACACGTGAGGAAGTGAATAAATACAGAAAACAGCAGCACTCTTGTATATTGGGAAGGGGTAAAGGGATGAGAATCAGAGAGTAAAATAAGTGTAAGTGTGCGAGTGTAACTAAGTACATAAGCTTTCAAGGTATTTGACAGGTTGCTAATTGTACCAAAAGTTCTCATTAAAAAGCAGCCATAAGCACTTCAAACTCTACTAGAAGTTAACAAAAATTAGCAAATACAACAGATTAAAAACCAGAATCATTGTATGCTTTTAACATATTGATTCCAAACCTACGAAGACAATCCTATTTGGTAGCAGATCTTCCTGCTAAACATGTTGCAATTGCAAAACAACTTCGTGAAATAAATCAGATTGTCTGCATGTAATCCCAAGCCACAGTTCTTGATTACCATATACATCTTAAACCATAATAAACAGTTACCAAATTACGGTCGCAACATGTAAAAATGAAAACCAAAAAGAAGATGCAAAAGCCATAAACAACAGTCCACCAACGCAAATAGCTTCAACTAGTTAAATTATGCAAGAATTGAAGAAAACCAAAAATGAGAAATACTCAGATTCAAATCTCGCTTCATTTCCCCAGTTTATTCAAAATCCAAAACATCTAATAATATCAAAACTCAAGCGCGCGCGCAGACACGTAGAAACCCTAACCACAAATCTCCTCATTACCAAATCCAACGACTTACTGCAACCTCTAAAAACCCTAACTATACCACAAAACCCTAAATCCCCAAAATTCTCGAAACCTAAGACACAATTTCCAAAGAAAAATCCTAATAGATCCACAAAGAGAAAAAAAAGTAACATCCGCAAGCAAACAGTGACACATGCAGAAAAGAGAATTAAACAAGCGTGGAGCAGAAAGAAAGAAAGCGTAAAGAAGACCTGAAAGACGGTGAGAGCGACAAACTGTTCAAGTTTGAGAGTGAGTTGGTGCCAAAGCTTCTTCTGGTACAGATCTGCAAGTGAGTTGTACCACTCGTCCAGTTCTGGATGCGCGCTGCGCTGTGTCTCCAAGTACTGTAGAGCAGCCATGGCGCCGATTGATTGAGAGATCTTTTTTCTGTGTTTTGAGCTTCGGAGGGTTAATAATATTTGTTTGTTTGTGATGCGTCTCTCTAATTTCTTCGTTAGTTGTGGGTTTAGTTTGTTTGGCTTAAGCTCAAAGACAACAAAAGGAAAAGGGGGAAAACAGAAAATAGTGGAGTGGACTGGTATAATGTCTGGGTCGGGTTACACAGTGGAGGATTGGATTTGTGGGCTTTCATAATTCAGCCCAATCCAACAAAACAAAATCAGTAAACAGTGGTAGGGCTGTCCTCCCCTTCCTTATCTCTCCTACAGGTAGGCCGAAGTCGCATGCGAAGATAAGATTGATTCGGACTTCTTATTATTAATTATTATTATTATTAAAGAAACTAAAAGGATAGATATTTTACCGTTGCTCTCCTGTCGTTGATAATATGAATTGGAATAACAAAATTATAATTTTAAACTCATAAAGATAAATTTTTGGCATCGGCTGGTATAATGGTTTTTTATTATTTTTTCATAATAAAATAATTAATATATTCTACAAAACAAAAAAATAAAATAAACTATTTTTAAAATAAAGTAAAATTATAATTTTGAACTCATAAAAATAAAATTTCAGCTTCAGCAACTATAATGGTTTTTTATTATTTTTATAATAAAATAATTAATATATTTCACAAAACCAGAAAAATAATAAGTTATTAAACAAAGATGATTTTTTTATTTTAAAATAAAATAAAATGGTTATATTATCTTTCAATTAAAACTATTTTAAATTTTAATTTAAGGGTTTTTTTGTCTTCTTATTATATATATATATATTTGTTATTATCACATTTGATCAACAATTTTTTTTATAAGATTATTTTAGTCAAATAACCATTAGTAAATTAGCTCATGTTGATTTATTTTTTTATATTTTTTAAATTAAATCTTTTTAATTTTATTCTTTAAAATTAAGTTAATTAAAAATTGAGTTTTATAATTTTTTTTAATTAGAATTATCTCAGTCTTATTACTTTGATCATAAATTTAGCAAGTTAATCCAAATTAATCTAACTCAATTCAATATGTTTTTATTTTAATATTTAAATTATTTTTATATCTATTAAATTGATTAAATCAAATCAAATTAATCCTTACTTGATTTAAATTTTTTTCACATGAATAAACATGTTAATAACATCTCATCATCTTAATATTTTTTAACATTAACAAAATTATTGTGGTCCATTCCATGTCTTATTCATTCCAAAATGAAACACGTCCACTTCCTTTATAATAATAAATAATAGTATAACTAATCCAATACAGAAAACACAATCTACACTATTATTATACACAATAAATAAAAGTTTCACTAAATAATCTAATTTATGTGCAATAATATATGTTTTTAAGTTTGAGGAGAATTCCAATGCTTTTTGGTAAAATAAAAAAAGAAGAAGAAGAAAGAAGCTAGTTTAAACGAACGAGAATACTTGGTGCCTTTATCCAAGTAATTTCTAATTCAATTGACGCATTTATCCTCCCCTCCTTCGTAAGGTTTCACATTAGTTTTTTCTTCGCACATCAAATAAAACAAGGGGTTGTGATTTCTGAGGTAAAAAAATTAAATTGAAGTGCATAGACGTGACCATGACTTGTGTAACCAAACACTCATGATTAGGATGATACCATCAAAATAATTCTATAATAAATAAAATAAAAAAAAATTAATTAAAAAATTATTCAATTAAAAAAATCTAAATAAAATCAACTTATGTTAATTTATCAAACCTACAACTTATATTATAAGATTGGAACAATATAATAATAAAAAAAAAAATAAACTATTGAGCTAAATTTTCAAGTAATCCAATATTAAATAATAAAATTTAAAAAATTCAAGTCAATCGAGTTAACCTGTTAAATTTGCAACCAAGATCACATGACTGAATAACTTCATAAAAAAATAAAAATTTGGCAAAACTCCATTTCCAATAGATTCAATGTTCAAGATTGAAATAAAAAAAAATCTATAAGATCACGATAATCTAATAAAAAATACATTGAAAAAAATTACAAAGTTCAATTCTCAACCAGTCTAATATTAAAAAATAAAATAAAATAACTAGAAAAAAAATAAAAAATAAATAATTAAAATCAACTCAAATTAAAATATTAAATTCGTTACCTAAATCATGAGATTGAATTAAATTCATAAAAATTAAATTAAAATAAATAATGAAACTTAACTTCAAATATATACAATGTTGAAAACTAAAATAAAAAATAATAATTAAAATCCATTAGATCAGTACATATTTTATTAGAAAAAAAATTAAAAACAATATAAATCTCAATTTACAGGACAACTTGTTATTAAAAAATCAAATAAAAAAACACAAAACACTATTATAATAAACAATATTACACGTGGATTTGAAAACAGTGATTAAGCACACCTCTTATCATGTTGTTAATGTTAATTTTTCTACAACGCTTTCGATGAGAATGCAAAGGCATCATTGCTTATATCTATATTAGCCAATATTGAATCAGTAGCATTTACCTAAAAATGGAAGAAGGGTTGAGTTGTGGATGCTCTGCATCTTACCCACGCACCTGGGAGGCCGAAGTATGATTTCTTAAGAGGACCTTTCTGAATACTCAAATCATTTGATTTCTTATTTTGGTGAAGAGTCTTCAAGCGGAATCATAGCAGCAACGCGGACAAACCAGCCCCACTAACAAAAACCAACTAAAACCATGATAAGTCCCCCAAGCAATCAATATCTATATTATGCAAGGTCAAATATTTTCCATGTGACTTCCAAGCAACGCAAAGTTAACGATCCCTTTTGAGTTTCTTTATTAACCCCACCCTCCGTCCCAAGGCGGAAAAGCATGAGCCAGAAACACAATGATGCTGTTCAAGGCCATACTCGCATCCCTTGTTCTTTTGTTCCTCCTTGTTTTCACTTCAATTCATTCTGTTGCCGCTGATGCTGCCGGGAAAAACAGTGTTCCAAGTTCATATCGGTCATGGCGGAGAATAAATCACGGAAGCGCTCGTGGCCCTAGGAAGCACCTTGTCAACCCAACAGAGGAGCATCCATTTGAAGTTTCCAAGTTGCCTGCATAGACTTCCCTGTTCTTTTTACTCTTCTTCTAGTTCGTCTTGACATCTCTTCTTCTTCTTCTTCTTCTCTCCTTCCTCCTCTTTTGTTGTTTATTTGTGTGTGCTTCTGTATCTCTGGTATCATCATGGACTTTTATCTAATTTTGTAGGCCTTTAGGGGTACTTGTAATGTATCAGCTATTGTGATTAGTTTTCTGAATTCGCTCGTACCTGTTACTGGGATTGGCTGAGTTCCATGTGCAAGTTTTATTAAATGAATAAAAAGAGCTTCAAGCCTTCAACACCTCCCTGTTGTCTGTTCTTCACCGAACTCTTCCGGATAGCAGATCAGTACAACTGAATGACAGCATTCTAAAAGATGAACTCAAACATTGATTTTGGTCCTCTAGCACCATCATAACCCTGTTTTTTAATGGGATTTTCATCTCATTTTCTCCAAGGAACATTTCTCAAACCAGTTCATTTGATTACTACCTCAGTTTAATGCACTGTTTTAATTTGTCACAGAAATCATCTCCATTTCTTCTAAGAACCATATAACTAATCAAACCGAGTTCTTGATCAATCCATAATTTTATTTTCCTCTTGAATGTTGTCAACAGGCAACAGGCAACAGGCAAACAGAATGTGTTGACCACGAAAACATCACATAAGGAAGATTCGCATAACAAACGTCTTGTTAGGAAGCATTTAATAAAAAATCATATGCTGAATAGCATGAAAAATTGAATCACGCTGAGTGCACAAAAAAATCACCAACTGGTGATAAATCACATGGTATTTCATGCAATGAGAATTTACTCTGTTTTTGATAAATCACAGGTCACAGCTGGATTAGGATCCATCCTACAAAAGCATTCTACAAACACTAAAGAGAGTGCAGTAGATACAAGGATACAGCCATCCTAACAAACCAGCACAATCACAGCTGAATCCAAGTCATTCAGCATGATCACACATCTGTGCAAGGGCTGTTTACATGTAACAAGGAATCACTGTAACATGGAAAGTGCTACCCTGACTCCAGCTACTTATGGATACCGAAAACTCATAGTTCACTTGGTCCAAAACTGTATTCATTAAGCCTGGCCCCTCAGGATGTATCCTTTGGTTGTCATCGACATACAAGGAAACGAGTGGATTGATCCACAGATGTTATGTTGAGGATGACAAATAAACACGTTAAGGCACAGGCTGACAGTTTGACACAAGATAGGAGGCACATTCTGGGTTGCATCCAAATGTAAATTCCCTGATCCAGCAGCTGTTATGCAAACCAACATGCACAATGTGCTTCAATAATAACCCTGACTTGGGTGGAAATGATGACACCAACAACTGGTTGGACCTGGAAACTCCATTGTCAAGTAGAATATATAAACAATGACTATTTCCATAAGCTGTAATAAATGACCACATCTATCAAATTTTGAGAATGTTTCTGCGTCCAAAATTGACTCGTTACACATACATAGAACAGTTGTAACGTTGTTATGGTTCATTGGTAATTACATATTCTCCAGTGAACTTATGCAGAAGCAGATAAAGCACAGAAAAAGGAAAAGAATAAGACCAAATTTTGTATGGAACTATGCAGAGCTGCATTCCGATCAGAAATTGATACCAGGTTTCGGATCCCGGATGCATTGCATTCTTCAAGTAGTTTTGGTAAATTATGCTCGAGGGCACTGATAGAAGGCGGTATCAATCGATGGACTGGTTTGGCCGTGGCCTAGATTCAAGAGATTCAGATTCAAGAGCCCCACCTTCTTTCACGACAGGAAAGTCACCTCTTCTATGCACAGTTGCAGATACTCACTCCTTCCACAATCTTCCATCCTATATAGAGAAACTTGAAATTAGAGCCTCAAACCCTTAGCGTGGCCTAAAATAAAATAAATTTGTGAATAAAACAGTGGAGAACTGCAAAAGCTGCCGCAAATTCATCCACAAAAATCTGAATCCCAAAAGAAAGAAGAAAAAGCATGCATAGCCCACTTCCATAGCTCGAAACCAGGCCATATTCACCTTTGACATGTAATTTCCTAATAGCCGTTAATTCTCATGCAAGCTACGTGTTTTTTGTTACAATGATTTAATCTTCTTCAGAAATTAGTGCTAAAAACATTGCGACCGAACCACAACGGATGGGCTACATACATTAGGAACTTGCAGTATGACCTAACAAAACTCAGTAACAAAACCTTTCCCCAACTCAGAAAGAAAAACTTAATTCCGTAGTCCTAATCCAACTCGATCAAATCCCAGTTGTTGGTAAAGGCATTCGGGATTGAATCCGAATTCGGGCCTGATTTTGCACCACATTTCGCACCTAAAGCAATTCAAACAAGAGGAAAATGAAGACTAACAAAGTTGGAAATACAACACAAAATTGAGAAACAAAACAATAATCATGCTTACATTAAGAATTCAAGGTTCAGGAAGCGGGCACTGAACTGGTTGATCATTGTTTAGAGGCTTAAACTACACTGTTACTTCAATTCCATGAGGACGCAGCAGCAGTGCCAGCAGCTGTCCAAGTAACATCTGCATTTGGGGGCAGTACTTCTCTCTCGTCCTTCAGCCCGTCAAGCCACTCATCACACCGAACACTTGTACCATTAGACAATTCAGGATAATTTCGTGGAAGTCAAGCGGAAACAAATCAAGAATTATAATTTCTATAAAATAAAATTAAAAAAAAATGAAAAAACAAAACTTCTCTCTATTTAACTTATTAAATTTACAAAAAAAAATAGAATAACCTTATAAAAAATATATTAAAACAATTATAAAATTTAATTATTAATAAGTCTAGTATAAAAAATAAAATTATAAAAATATATAAAAAATCAACTCGAACTAATCCAAGTTAACCATTAAACTTGTAGTTCAAATTATAAGATAAAAATAAATTTATGTAAAATAAATTATAAAATCTATTTCTTAATTAACTTAATATTAAATAATAAAATTAAAAAAATATCAATTATAAAAGAAAAAAACTCTAGTTAACTTCTTAAATTTAATATCTGAATCATAAATATGAGATAACCTTATATAAAATAAATTTAAAAAATTATAAATTTAAATATTCAATAAATATAATATTGAATTATAAAATTAAAATTATAAAACAAAAATTATAAAATAATATAAAATAATAATAATAATTCAATAAATAATGTTTTGTAACGACAGATAAAATAAAATTTCTTCCTCTTTTATTTTTTTGCTAATTTTTAAAGTTGAAATTAATAATTTTAGTAATTATCATTATTTATTAACCCTTAATTACCCATTATAAACACATGAAAATTTTTACCATAAAATCAGAAGTTTTTTTAATCTTTTAAGAAAATTGTTCAAAAGTAGTGGGAGATAACTTAATTACCCATCATAGGCATTCTGTCTCCTCCGAGAAAGTCCAAATGATATTATAGGCCTACAATACTTGATGTTGTCTCCGTGATTGTAAATGAACATGCACCTTTCCTAGTGCCTCAGAGCAATTTCAAGGTCCGTTAAATGAGAAGCTAAAAAAAAAAATTATTTTAATTATTTTATATTTTTTTTATGTGTTAAAAGAAGTACTAAACAAAATATTAAGTAGTTTTGCTCTTTCAACAAATATTATTCTTATGTATCTTTTAAAAAAGTCCAAACCAATAAAATAAGGACAATAAAAAGATAAACTAATTAAATCTATATCCATGTAAAAAAAAAAAACATCAAACTCATTAAGAAAAAAATAAATACTTATATCTCCTACTCCGGTACAATTAACTTTTCAAATGGTTTTTTTCCACTAGAGTATACATAGTAAAAAAAAAATTATATTTATATCATTCAAAATTATATTTTTTTCATTTAAGCTCTTTAAAATAGTATATCCTCTTCAAAATACTTTAATATAAAATACTTATGCTATTAGTAGAAACATTGGAGATAGAAATTCATTCATGAGTTCCGCATGAATTCCTTCTATGAACAATGTAATCGTTAAAATAGGAGATAGAAGTTCATACATGAGTTCTTCCTTTTATGAATAATGTAACCGTTAAAATGTTGAATGCTAGATAATATTTATGCATACTAGGATATTGTTGGTTTCACCATCCATGGATAAAAATGTTTTCTCAAGGAAAAATATAGTTCATTTTAATTTTTATAGTGTTGGTTTCACCCGTTGTAACATAAGATAATGATTGATAAAAAATCTATTTCGATATATATAAGCTGTTTTTTACTGATTTAAAAAATCAAATCTCCTTTTTATTACACTCCATTTTGTTATGCTAGAGCTTCTCATCACATTGCTTATATAAAAACCAAATAATTATAATAATTTATTTCATCTTTTCCTTGTCTCATACAATAAACACACTAAAGAACCATTGTTGAAAGTTGACCATGCTTGTCATATTAAAGACCATATGCATCTCTAGCCAATATATAATTTTGAATGAGCATTGAATAAAAACATGTTCTTTAGATTTCCTTATCTTTTCACAAACAACATAGATACAAGGAATTTTTATTCTCTTTGTAATGAATTTGTTATGAGTTAGAATGCAATGTTGATACACTCACCAAAAAAAATATTTAATACTCGAAGAGATCTATAAATTCTATAATTTATGTTAATCTTTATCTGTGTGATCTCCTATATTAGGCATGTTAATGTTAATGGCAATGTGATAGCTAAATTTAAATGAATAAACATATGTTTTGGTATGATGCCAGATGACATTGTCCTTTACTTGTTTTAATGACAATGGAATGTTCAAGATAACAATGACATTTGCAAGAGAAAATAATTTCTTTACCAAAATTTCATCCTAACAAGCTACCCCTTCTGTCATCAAATCATATATCTATAATGATTCCAACCCTTTAATTATAAGTGTTTCCAACAATTTGTTAAGATCCATAAACAATCATGGATCCTTACACGCATTCACCTTCATGCCCTTGTCAATACGCCATTTACAACGTTTCTTTGTAACCTCTTGAGAACTAAGAATGCTACACCAAATGAAGCTCGATCTATGCCCTAGATTAGCATTTAAAAAATCCCCTCTTAGATAGTATTTAACTTTGATGATTTGACTCACCAATGAATATGGTTCGACTACTAACTTTCATCTCAATTTGCTAAGTAAAGCCAAATTAAAGTTATGTAGATATTAAAAGCCCATGCCCTCATCATCTTTTCTTCCACAAAATCTTTCTAACTCTTGCAATATCATGCCTTGTTCATTCTCCTGATTACCCCTGTAAAAAACTATTTGTTATTTGTTGTAACTCCTTGTGTAATATTGATGAGATAATAAAGACTTTCATACTATAAGTTGAAAATATTTTAACAATTGAAGTTATTATAATTGTCTTGCTTGCATTAGATAACATGTGATTTTTTTACCCGTGAATTCTTGTCATATTCTGTCCCTAATAACAAAATAAAACCCTCTTATTCCTTTCAATAAGTGACGACAAATCCAAATATCTCCTATGATTTAATAGAGAATAGACACTTAGGATATTTTATATGTATTATTTATATTTATTTTTGATATTTCTATTAAATAAAAAATATAATTTTAACTATGTTCTCAAATACAACCTAAACCTTCAGTCCATTTACTAAATGAAATTTGAAATTCTTTTTCTGGAAGGCAGTCATATCCAAGAAAAATTAAGAGTAAATTATAAAATAGAATCTATTATTTTAAAAAATAAATTAAACAATTCTTTTAATTTTAATATTAATTAATTAATCCTGATTTTTTTAATATAGCTGTCACTTAATTCTTTTTATACGTTTTATGTTTTCTTAAATTTATTTTGTTTATTTGTTTTAAAAAATAAAATAAAAAAGAAAAAAGAAATAAATAATATGGAAAGACGGGTGAGAAAAAAGATATTATTAGAATAAAGATTTAAGTACGGTCACCACCAATCAAGAGATTAATTAATTATTTTAAAATTAAAAGGATTATTTAATTTGTTTTAAAAAATCAGTGGAACTAACGTACAAGTACTCAAAAAGTGAATAGTTTTTTTTTTTTTTACTCTGCCACTGCACACTTTTTGCATATAGAGGAACGGCGCACCATCCCAACTCCCAACAGCTCTGTCTTAATTCAAAAACTGGCAAGAGAACAATGAAAGAAGAAGGAGAAGAAGAAGAGGAGGGGGAAGGGTTCGAAGAATGGGGCGCTGATTTCTTAGAACAATTGATCCAAGTCGAAGAACACGCTCTTTCTTCTCAACTCCCCTCCTCCATATCCCCCCCTCTCCTCCCTCCCATCACCACCACCAAACACTCCTACCTCCCACCACCACTACAACCACCGCAACAACAACAACAACAACATCAAGATTATCAAAATAATTCCATCAGTTACTCTCCTCCGCGAGAACTCTCTCAAAGACCAATCGAGTTCGGTATCAACTACTATAACAGCATGACGTTTGATGGTTTTTCTAATGAGTTCTCGCGTTCTGCTCCTTCTACTTCCGTCTCAAACGATAATGCAAGAGACCTGGAAATTGATCGCTTAAAGGTTTCGTTTTTCTTTTTTCGAAATTTCTTATTTATTCGTTCCTTTCTTTGGATTCATATTTGCTTCCTTTATCAAATACCGATATTTGACGTTGTTAAACGTTACTTTACATTTTGATATCTTAGTGATTTTTTTTTTTCAATTCCGTTTTCGGTGAAAGATGAATGTGATGCCATGTTTTTCTCAAGGGGAAAGGGATTGAAATCTCTGATTCAGTTTTAATTGATTTTACAATTTGCAGAGAGAATTGGGCCGCGTATCAAAGCACCTTACAAATTTGGTAAAAAGAAATTCCAACTCTTTCTCTATGCTATAAGTATTTATCTGTGCATTACCCATTTATTCATTTTCTTCATTATCTAGTTTTTCAAGCTACATCTCATTGATATTGGCACTTTGTTACGTTTTTTAATTGGTTTATTTATTGAGCCATGTCCATCTTAATGGGGTTCTCTTTTGATGAATTGCTAAATCATTTCAGGAAAAAGAATGCTTTGAACTTAAGAAGGAGAGAAGAAAAAAAGATGACCAAGCAAATATTGAAGAAAAAGATATGGATGTTCACGGCCAAAAAAAGAAGAATTTGTGAGGCTTTTTTTTCCGCCTCTCGGTATTTTTTAAATTTTCTTTGAACTATCCTGGTTATATATCCAAGCAGCTGTTTATGTGATATTGCATGTGTGGCATATTATCTCTACTCAAACACCAGCTGAGGTCTTGATCAATCTTATTTTGCATTGCAAAATCCGGTTTCCAGTTTTACAGCCTCAGAGTGGTCATCTAGATAAAAAATTATTCTTGGTGGCTTTTTTATTCTTAGTCAGTTGATGCAGGGCAGCATAGGGGCTGTTCAGAATCTGACTTTTAGAGGCTGTTTTAGGGCTGTTAGAACTGTGTTAATGTCGATTTGTGATGGAATATGAGGAAGGATGTAGATAGATTCTAAGAGCCACACCTAGGGTTCTTAAGATTCATACCTAAGAAGAGATCGAGTTACACAATCACAGCAAAGTGACTGGAAATTATTTCATATTATTACATTGAAAAATATTAAAAGCCTACATTCTTATTTTATGGAGTTTTAACTGTCCACAT